AGTAGGAAAGATCTACACCTAGCCTTCTCGGACAAGGGCGAAAAATCTCGGAGGGCCCGTGTGCAAGTTGCGCACGTTAAAGATCCCTTGGTGGTTTAAAATTGATAAGAGTAGGCTTCGGCCGCCACCCGGGCAAAATTTCAAATTTCCTACCAACTGAAAATATTAGGTGTGTCCCGCGCCCTCATATGACCTTATGCAGTTGCGAGCGCCGTAAAACACTTTACAAAAACAAAACAAAACAAACAAGGGGAGAGAATCTAACAAGTACACCAATTCACATATCAAGGCGCAACAGTCACAGACGATGGAAGAAATAAAAAAGAAATCAATTAATAGAATTTTTCAAAGCTAGATAACTGTCTCTCTTCTTAACATTAAGAAAGAGAATACTGGAAATCTACATCTTCCCCATATCCTATATGGCGCTGAAACTTGGATTTTGACAAACAAAGAAGAAAAAAAAAATAGCGTCGTTTGAAAAATGGTGCTACCGTAGAATGGCCAGAATAAGTTGGAAAGCAAAAAAGACGAACGATGGGGTGCGTCAAATTCTCCACACAAGACTAACCTTGCTGAATAAAATGGAATTGAGGAAAATACAATACTATTGCCATTTAAAACGACACGAGATCTTTGTGAAGAGGTGCTTGAAGGAAGAATATGGGGCAGAAGAGCCAGAGGAAGACAAAGAGTAACAGGGATGGACAACATAAAAACATGGGCTGGCCTGGATATGGCAGAATGTGCAACGGCAGCTTGCGACCGTGACGGATGGCGGGTCATTTCTTGTCAACCTCTGAGTCAGAGATGACACGTCCAGGTATCCCTGATGTGCATGCTTCGCATTGAAGTGTCTATCTATATAGAGCAAAGAGAGGCGGCCATGACAGTGCCCGATTTAGGATAATAATGGTGTAAGTCTATGGATGATGGCATTAAGCCTCAGGTTTAGTCCTGGCCTCAAGGCAAGATTGAGGCACTTTCATAATTTTTGTTGAGAAAAACAGAG